ACTAAACCAATCAGATTCTGTTTCTTGTTAAGAAACCCCAATCAAACAAAGCCACAATTTGTCTGATCTCAGGCAGTAACTGCTACAGTGGAGCTTGACCTCATGTTCAAAGCCAGGCCGATAAACAGTCGGTAACCATTCTGTGCATTACACTCCATATACAATATACTGTTACACCATCCTCCACTGGTTATAGAGCATCATCAATCATGGCAATTCGCTTCCACGATTCAATGCTGACAGAGCCATCAAAACAAACGTCGCCTCCTTGATTCACTGCTGACAGTCATCAAAATAATCAATAACAATTACCTTACTAGATAAAATTCATCAATGCACATTAGCAGGAATATCTCATCACTTTGTCTATTCTAAATTAGATACTCACACAGTCATTGCTCTGATGAAGTACATCTATTAAACCACAATTTCTCACCATCGGCTTACCACGGCACTTAGAAGGACCTGATCTTTTGCTGTCAACTTTCCATCTCAGAACCTCTGCCTCACAAAATTATTTCATATCCTGACGCATATTTTTCCGGCACCATATACGAAAAAAATCCTCCAAATTTCCAAATTCCTACTTCTAATATCTTAAGTGTCTAACAAAGAGACGCCTGGGTGAATAGCTTTGACAATGGCACTTGTCTGATCTGTCCTAGAGCCATCTATTATAGTAATATATATATATATATATATAAATATAAATATATATATATATATATATATATATATATATATATATATATATATATACACTATATATATATCGGCGTCCGCCTGGCAGCAGTTTATAGTACATGATTGACTTTTCATCCACTAAAATTGTGTCAATGAAAAAATAAATCCAGTGAGTTCTATGGTATTGTAAATTGAAGAGACAGATATACAGACAGACAGACAGAGAGACAGACGGTCAACCGGGCGAACGGACAAACAAACAGAAAGCAATTCTCTAGTCCCCACCAATATCGAAAGTAAGAGGGTAATAACAGACATACAGTATCTGGTATCCGAAACGGGGGGTATATGGGTGGAATAAGGGGATATTGGGTGGGGGGGGGGTATGGTTGGGGAGGGATGAGGGTGATGGGAGGGATGAGGGTGGCGGTATGGGAGGGATGAGAATTGGTATGAGTAGGGATGAGGGTGGTATACTGGGAGGATGAGAATTGGTATGGGGAGGATGAGGTGGTAGAGGATAGGGGTGGTATCCTGGGAGGGATGAGAGATGCTGGGAGGAGGGATGAAGGTGGTATGGGAGGGATGAAAGGGTGGTATGGGAGGGATGAGGTGGTATGGTAGGAATGAGAATTGGTATGGGAGGATAGAGGGTGTGGTATGGTAGGGATGAGAGAGATATGGGAGGATGATGAGGTGGTATGGGATGGATGAGGGTGGTATGGTAGAGATGGGGAGGTATGGTGGGGATGGGGAAGGTATGGGAGGGATGAGGGTGTATGGGAGGATGAGGGAATTGGTATAGGGATGGGGGTGGTATGGGAGGAGGAATGGGGAATTGGTATAGGAGATGGGGGTGGTATGGTAGAGATGAGAGAGAGGTATGGGAGGGATGAGGGAATTGGTATAGGAGGGATGAGGGTGGTATGGGGAGGGATGAGGGTGTATGAGAATGTGGGGTGGTATGGGAGGGATGAGTGTGAAACATGGATTTGGGATGAGGGAGGTATGGGGAGGGATAAGTGTGGTATGGGGATGGGGAAAGGTATGGGGAGGGATGGGGGTGGTATGGGAGGGATTTTGGGTGGTATGGGAGTGATGGGGGTGGTATGGTGGATGGGGTGGTATGGGAGGATAGAGGTATGGTAGGGATGAGGGTGTGGTATATGGTAGGGATGAGGGTGGTATGGGAGGATGAGGGAGGTGTGTGGGAGAGGATGAGAGAGGTATGGTAGGGATGAGAGAGGTATGTTGAGGGATGAGGGTGGTATGGGAGGGATGAGGGGTGGTATGGAGGGTGATGAGGGGTGGTATGAGTGGGGATGAGGGTGGTATAGGGAGGGATGAGGTGGTACCCTAGGAGAGGGATGAGGGTGAAATATGGGAGTGATGGGGGAGGTATATGGTAGGGACGAGGTGGTATGGGGAGGGATGAAGGGTGGTGTTATGGTGGGGATGAGAGATTGGTATGGGAGGATGGGGGTGGTGTGGAGGGATGAGAGAGGTATGGTAGGGATAGAGGTATGGTGGGGATGGGGTGGTGTGGGAGGGATAGAGAGGTATGGTAGGGATGAGAGGTATGGTAGGGATGGGGAAGGTATGGGAGGGATGAGGTGAATGGGAGGGATGAGGGTGGTGTGGGAGGGATATGGAGAGTGGTATGGGAGGGATGAGGAGGTATAGGTAGGGATGAGGTGGTATACTGGGAGGGATGAGGGTGGTATGGGAGGATGGGGTGGTATGGGAGGATGAGGGTGGTATGGGAGGGATGGGGGAGAGGTATGGGAGGGGATGAGGGAACAGGTATGGGGTGATGGGGGAGGTATGGTAGGGATGAGGTGGTATGGGGAGGGATGAGGGTGGTATGGGAGGGATGAGGGTGGTATGGGAGGGATGAGGGTGGTATGGGAGGATGAGGGTGGTATGGGAGGATGAGGTGAAATGGGAGGGATGAGGGAATTGGTATACTGGGAGGGATGAGGGTGGTATGGGAGGAGGGGATGAGGGTGGTATGGGAGGGGATGGGGGAGGTATGGAGGGATGAGGGTGGTATGGGAGTGAAGTGGGGTGGTATGGGGAGGGATGAGGGTGTGGTATACCTGGGGAGGGATGAGGGGAGGTGGTATGGGAGAGGGATGAGGGTGGTATGGGAGGGATGGGGAGCATGGGAAGGATGTGGAAGTATGAAGTATGAGGAGGTATGGCAGGGATGGGGAAGGTGCTCCTGGGAGGGATGAGGGTATGGGGAGGATGGGGGTGGTGTGGGAGGATGAGTGGTATGGGAGGGGATGGGGAGGTATGGTAGGGATGAGGTGGTATGGGAGGGATGAGGGTGGTATGGAGGATGAGGGTGGTATGGGAGGGATGAGGGGAGGTATATGGTAGGGATGAGAGGTATGAGTAGGGATGAGGGGTGGTATAGGAGAGGGATGGGGTGGTATGGTAGGGATGAGGGGTGGTATGGGAGGGATGGGGGAGTATGGTAGGGATGGGGTGGTATGGTAGGGATGAGGGGTGGTATGGGAGGGATGAGGGTGGTGAGGGGAGGTATGGTTGGATGAGGGATGAAGGAGGGATGAGGGTGGTATGGGAGGAGGATGAGGTGTTGGGATGGGGAGGGTGAGGGATGAGGTGGTATGGGAGGGATGAGGTGGTGGGTTGGGATGAGGGAGGGATGAGAGTGGTAAGGGAGGGATGAGGGAGGTATGGTTGGGATGAGGGGAGGTGATGTGGAGGGATGAGGTGGGTATGGGAGGGATGAGGGTGGGAGGGAGGGATGAGGTGGTGGTTGGGATGAGGGAGGTATGGGGGGATGAGGGTGGTATGGGGAGGGATGGGGTGGTATGGTTGGGATGAGGGAGGGATGGAGGAGTGGTATGGGGAGGGGATGAGGGAGGTAGTTGGGATGAGGGGAGGTAGGGAGGGATGAGGGTGGTATGAGGGATGAGGGTGGTATGGGGGGATGAGGGAGGTATGGTTGGGATGAGGGGGGGATGAGTGGAAGGGAGGGATGAGGGAAAGGGAGGGATGAGGGTGGTATGGGGAGGGATGAGGGTGGTTGGGGAGGGATGAGGGTGGTGGGTGGGAGGGATGAAGGTGGTATGGGGAGGGGATGAGGGTGGTGGGTGGTTGGGATGAGGGAGGTGGGAGGGTTGAGGAGGTATGGGAGGGATGAGGGTGGTATGGGAGGGATGAGGGAGGTATGGGAGGGATGAGGGTGGTATGGGAGGGATGGGGGAGGCATGGGAGGGATGAGGGTGGTATGGTAGGGATGAGAGAGGTATGGGAGGGATGGGGGAGGCATGGGAAGGAAAAGGGAAGTATCAGAAGTATGAGGAGGTATGGCAGGGATGGGAAAGGTATGGGAGGGATGAGGGAGGTATGGTTGGGCTGAGGGGGGTATGTTAGGGATGATGGATATATGGGTGGAATGAGGAGGGTATGTTCAGAAGAAGGGAAGTAGTGGAGGAGTGGAACAAGTTTCTGAACATCATCATTAACTCGAACACGCTGGATAGTTTCAAACATAGGTTGGACGGATATATGAACGATAGGGGTTGGGTGTAAACGGGACTGCCCACTCTGGGCCAATAGGCCCGCTGCAGTTTCCACCATTCTTATGTTCTTATGGTGCGGCTAAGGGAAGAGATAGATAAATATTTCCCTATAATTACAACACTACAAAAAATATTGATGTTCTAGGAAACGTATCAAGACAGACAGACAAACAGAGGCAGACACGCACCGAATGGGTAACCAACACAAACTGATACTCCATGTACTGGCAGTGAGTAATACTAAGAGAGTAGTACATACTGCAATGGCAAAGCAAGAGATAAGTGTTGATTAAATGAAAGTGGGAAACAAAAAACACAATTGTTTAAATCATGAGAATAAAACTTACTGAATAGAAAGTGTACGAGAAGGTTATACGCCTTTAAATGAAAGAGAGACTTCCTTGAAAGAATAAAAGAACAAGAGAATTTAAGTAGACCAAGGAATGAGAGAGGTATGGATCACATCACGTCACGGTTCATGACAGATGACTGAACAAGAACTGCAGGGACAACAATAATTATTGTGATTTATAAAGCGTAAGGATGATGTGGGGGAGGGAGGATAAAACAAGCCAGGACATAGATAGGATTGATAATGATGATAATGACGAAGTAGGAAGATAGTAAGGACGATAATGATGTGAGAGAAAGGATAGGAAAAGCGAAGAAACGCAGAGGGATGATGGTGATGATGACACATGAAGATGGTAAGGGGTGAAGGATTTGGCCAGAGAAGGTGACGAAGGAGGAGGTACTCACGGAAGGGATTGTGTCGGCGACGAGTGCTGAGGGTCTCGTACCCAGCCACGTCCGTGTTGCTCGAGTAGATGGGCATTGTTTACACTCCACGGCAACTCACACTGGTGAAGCGCCACTTACTTGGACAATGTTTACGCTTCATGGCAACTCACCAATTGAACACCAGTTACTGAGCATTGTTTACGCTTCATGGCAACTCACTGATTAAATACCATTTACTGAGCATTGTTATTAAATACCACTTACTGAGCATTGTTACGTTTCATGACAATTCACTGATTAACACCACTTACTGAGCACTGTTACGTTTCATGACAATTCACTGGTTAACACCACTTACTGAGCACTGTTACGTTTCATGACAATTCACTGATTAAATACTACTTACTGAGCACTGTTTACGTTCCACGACAACTGACAGACAAGTGGTGGTGGCCGCGGTTCACTCCTCAAACTGACGCACCATACAGTAACAGCCATCACAGCTGCTGCACGATCACTCACACAAGCCACGAATATTCTAACTCAACAACTAAGATCTGGACAATGGGAATATTGTGTAGGTGCCTCGAGGGCTTGGCATGACCAAGAACATCACTGAGACACACGGTATAGAATGACACATCCCAGCCACTTTTCTTCATTTTGCTTTAAGATAACAATTAAACCAGCACTGAATACCGTGTTAAAGAACAAAAGGAACTATGCACGAGAAAGACAAATTTGGTGTTTAGCTGAGAGGCACAGATCCTGGAATGCAGGCCACCGACTCGACACGTCTTGAAAATCGTGCTCTGTCAACGCAAGTCGACTTTGACTAATTCATCATCAGCGCCACCTGCACGCACTAACACCTTCCACTACCACAACCCTGGCGTGTGTGATCTTACGCTCAGTGTCGCCTATGATGTCCATCTCGTGCCCAGGCTGTGGGCAGGAGTGAATAGGTTGCAAAATGGTAGGAAAGAGGAGAAGGAGCACCGGTAAAGGTTTATGTGATGCTCAGCTGGACTTTGTGCTTGCCTGGTGCCTGGTACCCATGTGGGGAGGCGGAGCGGGGCGCCCCTTACAAACCGCCAGTCACAGGCTATGTCTGCATGTCTTGGCGGCACAGGTGACCGAGTTAAGGTGGAGTAGACACCTGGGTATTGACTGTGGGTGCTTGGGTGCTGGTGACACCCGCAGGAACACGTCAACAATACAAGGGTGGGCCGCCACCTTGACTGCGTGGCGGCATGTCTCTGGGCGGGCCAGCCAGCCAGCCACACTCACACCGCCGCACAACACTCTACGCTCACATCCTGCCAAGTTTGCCAACCCGAGTTAACATTCTCACCACCATCTGCTGCTACACTTGTCCAGTGTGAAGGTGACGACGACGGCAGCCACGGCGGCGAAGGCGACGAGTGACAAGAGAGAGAAGGAGATGGAGGCTCAGTGGAGCAGCGAGGTTGGTGCAGCAGCAGCAGCGGCGGCGGCGGCAGCGTGTTTGGTCCCACACTACACACCATTGATCTGTGCCTGGCAGCGGCGCTCCTACACCGCCCTCAGCGCCTTCCCCAACACTCCCTGCGGGGAGTGCCACTCCCCGGGCTGGGGCCACGATGCCCTCCTGCTGCCTTCACCACTCTCTTGAAAGCCCTCGGTGCAAAGCGGACGCCTTCTTGGGAGGCAGGAGGCCGACGTCCACAGGGCACGGCACCACCGGACACGGTGAATGAGGCAGCGTGCGTCTCCCCCGCTATCGATCAGCCGCGCCCCCTCCCCCGATCCCAGACTAGCCCAGCCCAGCCCCACCAACACTCACCACACGCCCCTCCTTCCCTCCCTCCCTCCTATACACACACACACACACACACACACACACACACACACCATCACTTTACCCTACACACACACACGCACGCTCACATGTTCGCACACGCATACACGCACATTCACCCAAAACGTTAACCCCCTCACACACAAGGTAAATCTAATAGAACACCAACACTAATACCCGACAAGACGAGCGATAGAGCCACACACTACAACACCACGCACACCAGCACTAACCAAACAACAATAAACAAAACAGAAGGACACGCGGGAGATAAAGAAGAAAAAACTAAGAGGAGAGAATGAGAGAAAAAAAAGGCGTCCCTCGCGTAGGTAATAAAAGCAAAGAGAAGAACACTTATAACGAGAGATTCATTTAAATAACGTCGAGAAAAAAAGAGAAAAAACAAAACAAACAAACAAACAAACAAACAAACATGGTAACAATCTTCACACAATGATAACGTAAACACAGGAAAAGGAAATGTTAAAAAGAACGACTCCCTGGTATGTGTGTGTGTGTGTGTGTGTGTGTGTGTGTGTGTGTGTGTGTGTGTGTGTGTGTGTGTGTGTGTGAGAGAGAGAGAATAAAAATAATGTAATTCGCCAACCGAGGACGCAGGTACTGAAGCTCCCGCCAGGTTAGGTGTCACTACTACTCCTACGGCGAGTAATATTAGGTAATCCTGCTAATAGACTTGGTGTGGGTGTAAAGTGGGAGAGAAGGAGAGAGGGAAATACTCACGTAACTACGATAGAGCCCACGGACGGAGGGACGGACAGACGGACATGTGCAAATCAATACAGCTTCCCATGTACAGTATAGTGACGCACAAGAGTCGTAAAAAACATCATCACATCACAATATCTCCCACTGATGAAAAAATGACAGTATTTCTCACGTTCATAAAAATGACAATATTTCTCATGCTGAGAAAATGAAAAAGTGACGGTATTTCTCACGCAGACAAACAAAAAACACGGAGCAATATTAATTGTACTAAGGAAATCAAGAACAAAAGAGACAATGTTTCTCAAACTGACAAACAACAAGAATTCACCACGTGACAATATTTCTCAGACAACGAAAAATAGGAGGAAAGTAACGAAAGAGGGAAAAATCACCAAACAAAATTTCTCGCGCTGAAAAGAAGAATCAAGATAACGTGGCAATATTTCTCACCCAAAGATCAACAGTAATGATAGTTCACACTCAAGGTTCTATACAACACAACAAGGAAATCTTCAAAGGGTTTTTACGTTAATTTTCTCCCGTCAGTATGAGAAACAAATCAAACTAGCTAGCTTACTATAAGACAAAAGAGTGGGTTCTCAAAAGGACGTTACGTTAATTTCACCCCCACCCTCCACCGCTCCTTAAAAAAAAGAGAACGTATCAAACTATCCTAACCTAAGACACAAAGCGGTATTCCCAAAGTGATCTTACGTTAACCTTCATTCCTTTCTTAATTGAAAATGTGAGAACGATCTGAATTGGCTGGTTCAATTAACTTACGACAAAAAATATAATTCTCCACAGTTACGAGGAAAATTAAAATGATGGAGAATCCCGATTAGCACGTTCTACTGTAGACTCTTCAACATTCTTAGACCACTTGCTAATCTGTTATGACTGGGAAACATTAATTATGGTAGAATCTCGGCACAATCTCGACGATATTTTGGGCTTCATCTCATTGTGTCGTAGCTCATTGTCCTAACAGTAAATTCAAAGAGAGAGAGAGAGAGAGAGAGAGAGAGAGAGAGAGAGAGAGAGAGAGAGAGAGAGAGAGAGAGAGAGAGAGAGAGAGAGAGAGAGTGTGTGTGTGTGTGTGTGTGTGTGTGTGTGTGTGTGTGAGTGTGTGTGTGTGTGTGTGTGGTGCAGCAAAAAGCAAGATATACTAAAAAAGAAGAACTTATAACGTTTTATTTTCAAGCTATAGAAGTTCAACATGAGCCCATTTTGTGGTTCTGCAGACATCAACGCTGTTTTCTGTTTCCCTCCTCCATACATTTTGTAACATATCGCACTGAAATTCTTTTAACAGACTCGTGTATCCTTTCCTTCAAATTTTCCAGTTACAGGTGTTGTTGGAATAACAACTATATTTTTTATATAGTCCCAAAGAAATGCCCCCCCGTCCGTCCCAACGATCAGGCTAATTGCTCTTACAGGAAACAAAAACATTAGCTTTGTCCTCTAGCAGCTGGGGCATCGGTCACAGCTGTATCATAAAGCGGTAAATGTAAGGAGGGAAACAGAATACCGTTTTGATGTCTGTTACTTGGAAATAAAACTTCTTGAGTTCTTCTTTATTAGTACGGTATATCTTGAATTAAATTTCTTAGTTTTTTTGTAATAAATGTTTAATATCGGAAAGATCATTTGTAATCACCCAGTATATTTCAAAAAACTTGCGCGTGAAGTAACTCACCTCAAAAAGCCTCTTATTTACTATGCAGAAATAATTTATCTACAGACAGACGGACTGACAAAGCACTGACTATTCCCCACCCACCCCGGCCCCCGATTAGAACTGGGACCTGTTAGGACTGGGGACAATCAGTACTAAGGAGGATTGAGATTGAATCCTATTAAGACTGAAGCCCACTAGAACTGGGGCCCATTATAAGTGATGCCTGTTAAATCCGGGACCCATTAGAATAAGGACCCAGGACAGGGGTCTACCCGAGTCAGGAAGGAGGTCACAAGGTCTTGGGAAGGAGCGCCGGGGAAAGAAGATTGTCTGCCCTGTAACCTTGCGATAACACTGCGGTGATTGGGATAATGGGGAGGCCAGATGCTTCCTGGGGAGGGTGGATAAGGTGGGGGTAGAGGAGGTGGTGGATGACAGAAGTTGAAGTTGTAGGTGGATGAAAGTGGGGCAAAATGGATGGTGGAGGAACTAGATGGAGGGGTGGAAGAGAGTGGCGGAGGAGTGTGGAAAAGGTAGAGTGGCAGAGGATGAGAGTGGAAGAAAAAGAAGAGGAGCAGTAAAGGTATCAATAATAATAATAATAATAATAATAATAATAATAATAATAAACACACACACTGTACTGTACAGCCCTGTAAATGTATTGAACGCATATCATTATGTCTAATCAAATGTAAGTTTGTATATTTTCAGCCACCGGCTGCAACTCTATTAATAAACCGTTTATTATTAGTATTATTACTACGCGCGCGCGCGCGCACACACACACACACACACAAACACACACACAGGCATAAATAACATAAATTATAGATATACAGTAGGATCCCGCCTCTTCGTCCAACACTAGTCACAATAACCACTATGAGTGAACACCCGCGACGAGGTGGCGTACTGAAAGGGTGGTAGGGGAGGTGGGAGATGGAGGGGTGAGGTGGGAGATGGAGGGGAGGTGGTGGAGTGGTGAGGTGGTGGAGGGGTGGGAGGTGAGATGGGTGGGTGAGGTGAGGTGGGTGAGGTGAGATGGAGGGGTGAGTTGGGAGATGGAGGGGTGAGGTGGGAGATGGAGGGGTGAGGTGGGATGATGAGGGGTGAGGTGAGAGATGGAGGGGTGAGGGAGATGGGGGGTGAGGTGGGAGATGGAGGGGTGAGGTGAGATGGAGGGTGAGGTGAGAGGTGGAGGGGTGAGGTGGGAGATGGAGGGGTGAGGTGAGATGGAGGGGTGAGGTGAGAGATGGAGGGTGAGGTGGGGTGGAGGTGAGGTGGGAGATGGAGGGGTGGGGTGTGGAGATGAGGGGTGAGGGGAGATGGAGGTGGGGGATGGAGGGTGAGGTGGGAGATGGAGGGGTGTGGTAGAGGGATGAGAGGTGGGAAGGGGTATTTTGAGGTTTGAAGTAAGGAAAAGACCTCTGGGGGTGGAGGGGAGGCAGAGTTCAGGTAGGGAACGATTTTGTGAGGGTCAGGTTGGGGGGGGCGAGGGGGAGGGTGGGGAACAGGTGAGTTGGGAGAAAGGGAGCGGTTGAGGGAGAGAGGGGGAATGAAGGGAGACTGCAATGGGGCGCAGGTGCGAGGGGGGAGAGGTAGATTCGTGGGATGTTGTGGGGGATGAAGAGGAGCAGCCATGACGGGAGGAGAGGAAAGGAGGGGGATATACAGTAATTTGGTAAAGGGAGAGTTGGTGAGAAAAGAGGAAGGTTAGAAGTGAGGATAAGATAAGTTTGGGAGAGAGGAGTTACCTGGGTCTGGCAGGTGATCACTGGGGAAAGGTAGAAACGGAAGCGGTGTCGGTGGTGTGGTCACGACGGCACACACACGGTGGCTGGCTAATAACGTAATTGGCAGGTGATGTGAAGTTAATTGCTGCTAGTGTGGGTGTGTGCCTACCTGCGGCACAGGTAGTATCACACACACACACACACACACACACACACACACACACACACAGATAACCTATGTAGCGGCGACCGAGAAGGATTATTCCAGCTTTACCATCGGCAACACCTCCAGTCCGACTTTCCACCTGTCTCTGTCTCCCTCTGCCAATCAATCCTCCCTCACACTCTCTCCCTCCACCAACCCCCACTAGGCGCCCAATGTAACATCTCCAACACAACACAGACACAACAGGTCATCTTTTGATCCAACACAACACAGATGCGGGCCAACCTCCTTTATCTCACACACACACACACACACACACACACACACACACACACACACACACACACACACACACACACACACACACACACACACACACACACACACACACACACACACACACACACACACACACACACACACACACACACACACACACACACACACACACACACACACACACACACACACACACACACACACACACACACACACACACACACACACACACACACACAC